AGGGCCCTGGGAGCTCCAGGGCGTGCAGCAGAGATACAGTCTTGCCCGGAGCCACAGCAAAGGCAGGAGGACTGGGAACTGCTCCAGGGCCTCAGTGGTGCATTTCAGTGTTGCACGGAGCACACGAAGGACTGGGAGTAGGTACTATCATCCTGCCAGGACAGGCTGACAGGGAGGTACAAGATCTTAGGTACAGGAGCCATGAAGCACCCAGCACATAAGGGAAAAGTGGAGAAACAATCACTTCATCTGATTTGTGGCATTGTGAGAAGGGAATGAAAGGCTGGAACTAGATGGGAAGAGCCTTGATAATGGGCTGAAGGGATAAATGGGGGGTAGCACACAGGCCATGGAGAAATGGAATAATCATAAGGGGCAGTAAGTAGGGGACAGAGCTCCCACATACAAATGCACCCATCCAGAGACGCCCCTTGCACTCTGCCTGCACCCTGCTCTCCTGTGGCATCCCAAACCCACAGCCCTGCTCTCTCCTCTCCCAGCCACCTCCTACCTCCTGAACTCGGAGCGCAAAATCCTCGCTTGGCTCTTCCACGTGCCTGGGGACAGAGGGCAGCCACCTGGATGGGGATAACAGCGCTGGGCCGGCTGCCTGGCAGCTGCTCTGGGGCAGCAGTGACACCTGCTGCCCCACACCTCTCCCCACAGCTCGAGGCCAGCTTGCAAAGCCAGGGGCAGGGCACAGCTTAGAGAGCAGAACTAGGTCCTTGAGGCTGTCTTAGCACTCGGGGCTAAGGTGTGAACTGTCTCCTGAAGCTCCCACAAAGGCCCCAAAAAAGGAGCTGTTGCCATGAAAGTATAAAACAGATCAAGCCAGATTCAGCCAGGGGAAGATCCAGCCCTCTTCCTTACCTAAATACCCTGACCCCTAAATTTGATAACAAGCCCCTTCCACTGCCTATGGACCGTTATCACGCCAACACTACTTGGCCAGTCTGGGCTCCCCTGGGCCCTGGGCAGGTGTCTGAACCACCTCTGCAGCTCACAAGGGACTGCAGGGACAGGACAGGCACCAGAGGACTGAGCTGCCCACAGAGATCCTCCTGGGGTGAACCACAGCAGAGCAGCTGGCCTCAAAAACAGCCCCAGAAAACTTGACATGAAAGCCCTGAGACTCCTGTCCTTTGCCACCTGAGCACAGAAACCAGGAGATCTCTCCACTTCAGAAACTGCTGAAGCTGGTATAGAAGCTGGACCTGAAGTGGACCAAATGGGGCTGCACCAAGCCCAGCTGGTGCCAGCGGGAGGGCAGAGGGTGGCACAGACCAAAAGATGTGCCAACATTGCCAGGCTATGCACCCACCCAAACCCTGCCCCAAATGAAAGAGAGAGGGATACTACCTTACTTGATAAACTGTGAAGGGAACGAAGAAGGTCCAGAGGAGCTCTGTGATCCAGGAGGAGTCAGCCACACTCTGGGGAAGAGAGCACAATGAGAGGAGCTGGTTGGTCTGCAGAGGAGGTGGGCAAGCAGGGTGCAGCAGAGCCAGGCAGCAAGGTGTGCAGGGCTGGGAAGGAGGGAATGGGAAACCCAACACACAGGGAGGGCAACCCCTGGGCAGATCCTCCTTCACTGGTCTTCACCAGGCAGAGCAAGACAGTCAGGGGCTCCACTGCTTCCAGTCACCTTTTCCTCCCACCAGGATAGCAAGATTTTCCCTCCATATCCCCACGTTCTCTCCTAGACTGTGCCTTTAGAAAGGATCGAAATGCCTCAAAACTTACTGGTGCTTCCTGAGAATCATGAGCAGCCCTCCCTTATCCTGATGGGAACAACCCATGTCATGTCTCAACCAGCATTCCCCACTTCCAAACTGGCTGCACTGTGAAGTGCCCAACTCTCCTCGTTGAAGATAAATCATTAGAGGTGAACTCTAATTCATAACTTTCTTCCTATTTCCAAAAATCAGGACATAACCCTTTCCAGGCAGCACTGTGCTGCTGCCAGCAGCAAGCCCTGGAGCAGGTGCTCTCCATCCTTCCCATCAGGACACAGCCAGAGCAGCTGGACCATGTTCAGAATACAGTTGGACTGAGAACAGAAAGCTGAAGACCAGAAGTTGCCCCCAACCTACATTTTTCAACAGTTCTTCAGAATTTGCTACAGAATGGACATTGTTCCTAAATATTTTTGCAGTTGTTTACCCTTCTCCTGAAGTGCCCAACCTTCCCACAGGCTGGGGAGAACCCCTTGGGATCCACAGCTCCCAAGAAGCTGCCTCAGCTCCTTTTACACCTGGCTGTGTCCTGGATCAAGGCAGTGTGGCCCCAAGAGAGGCCTCCTGCATGGAGAGAGATGCTACACCCCCAATGCCCCCAAACCACAGCCACCAAAGGCACCGTGGGTTGCACAAGGAACCAGCATCTCCTGGGCAAACAGATCTAAGAAACCTCCAGTGAAACATTTTGCAGCAATGCAGCCAGACCCTGGCTGTGCTGCCTCGTGCCACAGAACACCCCTCCTGCTCCAGCCAACTGCAGAAGACTCCTCCTTAACCCCAAATCTGGTGGTTTGCTCAGCCCAGGGCCTGGTGTATCTCACCAGGTGTCCAAGAAGGCTTTCTGAGAAGCACCGATTGAACTGCTCAGGGTGTTGCATCTCCAGAGCTTGGAAGTTTCTGACAGCTTGAAATTCTGTAAGAAATCCAGGGGGATTCACTTGGCCAATCTGCACGAAGGGCAAAACTCCTACTCAACCTCTGCAGGTGAGAATCTGAGCCAAGGAGAGACCGTGACCAGCATCCTCAGCCAGACCTGCAGCTACGTGCCTGCTGCTCTCCCTGACGTTTGTGAAGAAAAGGATGCACACACATACAACCTGTCATATCTCAGAATTTCTCTGAGGAGCCAATTAACATTAATTATAAGCAGTCCAGCTCTCCCACTTCCCTGGAGCAGTGATTCACAGTCATTCAAAAAGTGAACATATCCTCTCTGTTAGAAAACTGCATCTTAACCCAAAACCGAACCGTGTGGTGCCAGCACCAGTCCCAGCGTTTCCAGAGGCTGCTGCTCCAGGTTTTCTCAGGAAAAACAGCAGAATTCCCCACTCAACCCCCTTCTCCAGCAGCTCTCCACAACCTCTGCCTGTTCTCTGGCAAAAAAAAAAGCTGGCTAGCCTGAGTGCCTGCAAGTTTTGCTCCCTGGATTCTGCATCATGCTTGTGGCCTCTGGGGGCTCTCCCCACTGCTGCTCCTTCACAGAACCAGGGAATTGTCAGGGTTGGAAGCGATCTCTGGACATCACCCAGTCCAACTTCACTAGAACAGGACTGCCTGGAGCACATCTCACAGGACTGCATCCAGGGGGGGTCTGGAATGTCTCCAGAGAAGGGGACTCCATAGCCTCTCTGGGGAGCCTGTCCCAGGGCTCTGTCACCCTCATAGTGAAGTTTTTCCTCATATTTAAATGGCGCTTCCCGTGTTACAGCTTGTGGAACAAGGGAATTACTGGAAAGAGTCTGGCTCCACCCTCCTTGCAACCCCTGTAGATGTTTATAGGCATTAATAAGGTCTCCCCTCAGCCTTCCCCTCTCCAGGCTGAGCAGTCCCAGCTCTCCCAGCCTTTCCTCATCAGGGAGATGCTCCAATCCCCGAACCATCTTTGATGTCCTTCCAGGCAGCAGGGTTAGCAGAGCTTTGTTCAACCTTCCAGCAGCTGTTTTCCCCACTGCGCACCTGCAGACAACACCCTGTTCCTCACTCAACCAGACACTCCTCTGCTTGTGCACCCACAGACAGACCCACAGCTGGCAACTCTAAGCAGGCCACTGGGCCACCACCAATAACCCAGCTCCTTCATCACTCACTGATCTCAGACCTGTCCTCTGCAGCCCCAGTCAAAGCACAGACCAGCACTGGGCAAAGAACCAACCCCTGGCAGAATCTCACTTCAAGAACCTGCTGCTGACACAGCACGGGCAGTGCTTTACATCTACCCACTGTGTCCTGCTGCCTCAAAAAGACAGACAATAAGGAATCAACTAAAAGCCCTGACAAATACAAAATTTAAGTGTCTTTTTAGTCAAGTAGATCTATAAATCCTACAAGGAAACAAGAACTTCAGCAAAATCTCACTCTGTAAACAGGCCAAGAGCAGTTTATTGCAATCTGCCCAGCACCACCAGTGTTACCAACATGAACTCTGACACGTCTGGAGCTGATGTTGCATCATGTCCTGCATCTGCACTGGGGAGACATGAACTCCAGAACCCCATCCAAAAAGCCTTGCACAACCTTTGGAACTTCAGCCTCTCCAGGGTGACCCAAGCTACTCCCCCACAGCACTTATAAAAAGTGGACTAACAGAGGGGAGATGGGACATGGAGATGGTCAGAGAAGCCAGGTGGCACCCTCAGACAGCTGAACCACCAGAGCTGTTACCAAACTGCCAGCATGCCTCAAGGAGCACTAACCCAGCAGAACCTCCCCAGGAAAGGCATGTGAGAAACAGAAGTGTGAGCACAGAATCACAGAATTCTTGAGGCTGGAAAAGACCTCTGAGATCATGAAGTCCAGCTTATGACCCAACACCACCACATCAGCTTGACCATGGCACTAAGTGCCACCTCCAGCCTTTCCTTAAACACCCTCGGGGATGGTGACTCCACCACTTCCCCGGGCAGTCCATTCCAATGCCTTATCACCCTTTCCATGAGGAAGTGCTTTAGGAAAAAGCACTGAGAAGCTTGGTGAGAGGACACAAAGCCGGGCTGCACTGTCCACAGGCTGGGAAGCAGAAGCAGAACCTAGGGCAGCACATCCCCTGGCTCCCCTCACCGCCGCCCCAGCTCCCTCCACCTGCAGCCCCTCACTCACCACAGTGACCAGCGGCCTTTGAACCTGTAGGGCAACCGGCTGGACCATGTCCACGATGGAGAAGGGCCATGAGCTGGAAGAGAAGAGTTCAGCAGCGTGAGGGCCGGCCCCACGCGGCTACCCCGCGCAGAGCCCCGCTCCCGGCACCTGAAGCGCAGCAATCCCGCCCGGCCATTGGTGGCTGCCTCCTCGGGGAACAGCAGCAAGGGGGGGTTTCCCCTGTGGGACGAATAGGCCTTCAGGGAATCCACCAGCTCTGCTCGGCTCCCAGTCACTCCCAGCTCCATGAATCCCCGTGACCAGCAGATGAAGCCAGGGGCGCTGTTCAGGGCAGGCTGTGGGGAAACTGAGGTGAGGAAGTGCCGCCCTGGGCACCCCAGGGGCAACATTCCCAGGGGACCAAGTTCCTGCTTAGGACCAAAAATGCCCCTGGGGGCACCGTGTATGCTGACAGCACTGGTAGCAGAGAACACCACTGCTAGGCTCCAGTAACTGCTCTGGCCCCAGTTCCCCAGAAATTTGATTCCCACTCTTCCATTCCAACTGTGCTCTCTGCCCCCCGACCCTGCGGCACAACCCTGTTCCCTGCTCTCCAGTCGCCGCTGATGCGCTTGGCAGAGGACACAGACACAGCTTCCCCCAGTCACCTTCCTCCAGGCAGGGAGCAAATTGACTGCTGTTCAGGATACAGGTTCAGCCAACTCACTCCCAGATACATTTGAAAGGTGCTTATTGTGGAACTCCACAACCCAGGAATTTCGCAACAGTCTGGAGAAAGCTGCACAACAACCACCCAGCACAGCTCCCCCATCAACATCTCCAGCACTCTCATGCACAGAACTGGCACCCAGTGCTGAGGGAAACCCCCAACCAGCCCTGCTTCACCAGCTCTCTGAAAGGCCAGAAAAGGAGACAGACACAAGGATTTGCTCACTCTCTCTCCATAACATCAACACCTGCTGCAACACCTCCTGTTCTACCTCACCCCCTTTCATTTTTTCATGCAGAGCCTAAAGTGTGACACCAAGATAAGTAAGACCTGAAGCAGCCCAGGGCTGCAGCTAAATCCCAGAAGCTCCTCTTGGAAAGAGGTGCATCCACCCAGCCCGGCCTCAGGGCACTCACTGTGTTACAGGAGGTCAGGAGGCTGATGATGTTGTGGTCAAAGTGTGTGAGGTGGTTGGAGATGAAGACACGGACGCTGCCCTCGCGCAGCCGGGGGTCGCTCTCCCGCACAAACAGCCCCAGCACCGAGCACATCACCCGCACGATGAGCCTGCGGGGGGAAGGGGCTGCCTCAGGTCCTGCAGCCTCAGCCATTGCTGCCTTAGCAACCAGAACAGAGGTCTGGGAAGGTCTGTGACTTCCTAAAGGAAGCTGGTACGAAATGGAAATGGTCTGGCAGGTGCCTGGGCAGGAATGTTTGGGGGCTGGAGCTGGGGCTAAAGGCTGCCCGTAGAGCTGAAGCTGCAGCAGGAACTACGGGGCAACAAACCCCCCACGGTGTGTGCACAGGACACCAGCTGATCCCAGCACGTCAGATCAGCCCCCGAGTGCTGCAGGGGCAACTGCCAGCTTTGGTGTTAGCAAAGAAGGCACCTCCATGGGTCCTGGGGACAAAGAGTCCCAAAAGCAGAGCTTCCCATCTCCCTCTGCCCAAGCCAAGCCTCCACAGGGGCTCCTGCCCCCCGCCCCCGGTAGCCCCCGCCCCGGCAGCCCACGCACCGCCGCAGCAGGCTGTCGGGCAGGGCACAGCTGACCAGGAAGACGTGCACGCCGATGAAGAGGCGCAGGACGAGCAGGCAGAGTCCCACGGGCGCGTAGAGGAGCAGGGGC